AGTGGCGATGCGCGGGGCAATTAAGTCTATGATAAATAAATAAACAAATAAAGAAATAGACGTGACTCTCTGGGTCGTCTCCTACAAAAACACGTCACTCCGCCTGTTGTTCTGGCGGCTGCGCCGGCCTTTAGACTATTCATGATACTAAGCATCGCTTCACACTCACGTGCGACAAGCCATGTGCTGGTTTGGCGTCGTGGGCTCAGTGCATGTGCCTTCCCGCTTATTTAACAAGCAGCGAGAGTCGCCACATTCGGCCTCCGCCATGCGGGCGGAGCCATCGCCTCGACTCTGCGATATGAATCAGCCAATAGCGCGCCGTAAGCACACGGCCGCCCTGCCGCCTGGCAGATAAGTGGGCCACACAGGGAAGATGGAAAATACTCAGAGAATTCTCTCTCTTCCCCCCCCCCTGTTTGCTCTTGCTCATTCCCTTTCTCTCCCTCACGCAGAGTCGTCCCCCCCTCCTCCCCAACACCCACACCCACCTCCCCCTCCCCTTCAAACTCTCTCTCTTTCACGTCCTGTTAACATCTTTCTGTGTCTATGCTGTTCTTTTAAGTGACGGGGTTAAACTAGAGGAGACAGAAACCAGCGGGGCGCTCCTTCGCTGCTTGAAGCGTCTTTTTGAAGTTCTCCTTTAAAGTTATCCCTCTCGCTCGCGGTTCAATGGTAGGCGGCTGTCACCCGTTTCATCCCGCCGCCTTTGTAGTGGCGCGAGGTGTGCAGCGGTGTTCTTCTTTGCCCCCGTCGGTGTCGTCATTTTTCATTACGGGCGCCCCTGCCCGGTGCGCACCGCAGTTGACGCAAAAGCCTCTGACACATTGACAGCCGTGAAGCACACCTCTGTGGTCCTGTGAGCAGCGAACAAAAGACTCTGTTAGCCTCCGTCCCTCGGTGGTTTCCCCCCATCCAGTGAGAGCGCTTTACTCATTTGCTCTCATCCCGCCGTGTCTCTCTCAACAGGGGCTAATTTATGCACGTGTAATGTAAGAGACTGTTTGCACTTCTTGCGGTGAGGATTGAACGAGGTGCCGTGCAAAACGTGGCTTATTTCTCCTTCTGAAAAGGAGTTGGCCTCCCTCCCGCCAGTCTGTGTTTTGCCCCGCCGAGGGAACAAGTGAGCAAATACTTCCTGCGGAAGGATTGTTTGACCATATGCGAGCAGAGATTCCCTCGCAGCGTAACCACAGCAGTATGAGAATAATGCACGCTTCCCTTGTTCCTGCCGTTACCCCCTGTGGCAGGTAGACCGGGCTACCGGGGAAAAGGCCCTGTAAATAAAGCAGGCTAATTTTGTTGCCTGTGGCAGACACGCTGACCTAATCAGGAAAGCCTCCGCCTCTTTATTCCATCCTCTGTGACTCACCAACCCTGCTGCCTCCCTCAGGAGCGCACACACACACACACACACACACACACACGAACAGAGAGGTTCGCTGCCGTGGTAAGCAGGTGATGCAATGCATATTTCGTGTGTCCCCACCCAAACCCAAATGTAAAGCAACAAAATGAAGACGGACAAGAGGCAGAAAGTTATTAGGAGACGGATGAAAAAGTGAGATTGACGAGGGGCTTCAATTTCAGGAAATGCTTGGCGGTGATGGCAATGCAGAGTTGACAATCAATTGACAGCCTTTCACCAGACATCTATGAGACGTATTTTTTCTGAAGGGAGGGGGGGGGGGGTTGGTGGTCCATATGGCAGAGATATGGAGAGATAAGAGTGAGAGTGCTGCAGCTTGAGGCCCAGGCACAGTGATGGATCACCTACATGCTGCAGCAGCCCCGCCACACGCTGCACTCACCCTCAGAATTGATGAGCCACACCTCTCGTCTCCCCTTCTCCCTTTGCCTGTCATCTCCACTATTCCTCCATCCCACTCCTCCATTCTCACATCCCTGGTGCCGTGTCTCTGGTCTATCTCACCCTTCACCTTCATCCTCCCCTCTTAATTTTTTTATTTTTTATTTTTTAACTCTGCCTCACCCCCACCTACTCCTCGTGTCAAAATCAGGCAGGAGAGCCATGGAAGTGCCATACTAATAAGGTTAGAGGGAGCATCTCTGTTTCTCAGGGTGACACCTTTTATAAACGACAGGAGCATGAGGCCCTGCCGGTGCTCAATCACCTCTGCAGGGTCTCGCCCATGGGGAGCTCAGCGTGTGTGGCGTGTGAGCTTGTGCGTGCATGGGCACGGGTTAGTGTGTTATTGCCTCTGTGGCTGGTGCGGCAGCCAGGTTTACGGCGGAGCTAGTTGGAGTGGACAACAGTATTAGGAAGGAAACAGATCTGGAAGCGTAGTGAACGCGAAGGAGAGAAATGACAGCCTGGAGCTCATCTGACCAGCGCTGCCTTGTTATGACTCCCTGATGTGTGCGCCGGGGGCACACAAAACAGACACTTCCTCCCTTTATTGCCTTACACCACCTCTACCTCTGTTCCGTAGCCTCTTGCCTCGCAGGCTTGCTTTATAGCCTGCACTGAGGGGCAGGATGTTCTCTCCTTGTGTAGCTGACGCTTTGTTTTTTTTACTTGTCTTTTCTTTCCACTGTTTGTTGTTTTGTTTATGCCAGTTTTTTCAGAACGGGGAGTCATTTTAGAGCACAATGGAGCATGAGGCGCTGCATGGTCGTTACCAATTCATACAACAACTGAACCACCTTTTGCTCCTGGCATCAAGGATCGCAGGCCGGTGAACAGGGCCACGGAGTCTGCGGCAGCTCACAACGTTGTGCGCTTGTTGTCTATGTGGTTAAAGTTCAAAGAAGGCTACAAAGCAGCGGGAACCAGTTTTAGTTTGCGTCAGACAAACTAGGTTAGTGGCTTCTGCTATTACTTTGGGATTCGGGGATAAGCCCAGCAAGGAAAAAGGGCCTGAGATGGGCTTTAATGTGTGCCTGCAGCCACAAGGAAAGGTGCTAGAGTGCAACCATTTATGTACCTCTTTCTGTTTGTTGATGCGCGTGGCCTAAAAGTGATGACGATTGTAGCGAAAGCAGGGAAATTGCTGTAAAATTTGGAACCCCTCAGCTGTGAGCTCAGGCCATAAAAGTGACTGCAGCGTCATCATTCCTACCCATAAAAGCTACTCAGCCAGTCAATGCAGCCTGCGTTCATTCTCTCATTCTGCCGCCCAGTCTGAGCTAATTTTAGCCTCCCTGTGCAGCGCAGCTCAACCGCCGCCGTAGCTACCTGGATATGAGGGCTTTGTCACTCCTGCAGGCTGCAGCAGCACTGATCTTGACAGCTTTACAGCTTCCTGTTTCTACAGCTGGGTAAGGTTGCATAAACAACTCCTGCAGTAAAAGGAATGCACAGGGTGGAGGTGGGAAAGACAAACAGAAAGAATAGTGATGACTTTGAATGAATCAGCAGGAGACATTGCATTTGTGTTTTAAATTGCTGGCACTTAAAAGTCAAATCTATTACGAAGCCCAGAGGAATCTTTGTTTTTTAGGAGTGCACAGTTTACATTGTTCTACAAAACAAGTTTTATTCACTGTAAGATTGAACACACTATAGCGTTCTAAAATTACACAGGACTTTAAAGACCCAAGCAGGCATGCATATATAATTTGTTGTGATGGACAGTAGGTGCTGAAACATGCGTTTTCTTGTGCTTTACACGCACTGTTAGTCACACACGTTTCTTTAGTCCTTCTACTGAAGGTATACAAATCTGGGCCTATGAATTCAGCATAATATTATTCGGCAATCACTGGCATGGTAAACAAATGTTCCAAACAGATTCATTTGCAATGACTGCGCAGCAATCCCATGGTGCATTAGGGCTGTTAAAATGCCGTGAGTGCTCTGGGACGCTCACTCACAGCCGCTCATAATAGTTTCTCATTTCTTCCCGTTTCTCTTGAGCCTAGCCGCGATCTACACTCCATAACGCGTGTAACTTAAACCACGTTCCACGTTGCGTCATTCCTTGGGGACGGCGTTACCGATCTGCATTTGTGGTTCGGGCTTTTGTCTAGGAATTATGCAACAAACAGGCAACGCAGGCAAAATGACGTAAATTTGAAATGAAACTGACTGACTAAAACTCTTTTTCCAATAGCTCAAGTTGCACAGCGGTCTTAGGCAGCACTGCCAAAGATAACGCATCCCAGTCCCGCTTTACTCTCCCTGTGGGCTGCTGTGGCAAAATTTTGTTTCTCAGTGGGTGGTAATCTGAGGATTAATGACAGCAACACATCTGGCAGTCATGTGGCAGCGCCCCACAGATGGCAGGGGATGCGCGCAGGAGACACAGGCAGGGAAGCGATCGGCTCCAAGATTCTGTCATTCGTCCACTACAAATGTCGCAAAGCTCTTATGGTTTCAATCAAATAAATGTGTATTCCTCAAGTACATGAGTGGCTCCCACTTAAGTAGCCTCAGCGGGTCTCCAGTGAAAGGCTTCTGTCACCTCCTTGATGGAGTGTGTTTCTTTTGCAGGTATTTTCAGGTAATTGTTCCTTTTGAGGCTCCTAAATGACGTGTCATGTTGTAAGACCCATTGCTACCTCTCAACATGTGTTCTCTTTTTTAAAATATTCACCAATACCCCCTGCCCGCCCCCATTTGGTACCACCGCCAATAGCCATCACAACAATAGCAGCAGCCACTGTGGTTGATGTGGTAGGATTCTGGCGCTATAATAGCACATGTCTAATGTGGAAGTAGAGAAAAGATGATCCTAACAATGCCTAATGCAGCGACTCTGGCTACTGGGCCAACACACACACACACACACACACACACACACACACACACACACACACACACACACACACACACACACACACAGAGGCACTAGCTAGCTGTGTTTTGCCTTCCTTAGGCAGGAGCAGAGGAGCAGGCACACGTGTCTCCTTGAATTACTTTTCCCGAAGTGGCAGTTGAAGTGATTCTATTCTTGTAAGAGAAAAAGTAGTCAATTGTGATTTCCTAAAACAACACGTTGACGCGCGGCGCGCGTCTCCTTCTGTTTGTTCTACAGTCTCTTCATCGCCGTTTCCTCTATTCGTCTGACCAGGTGGCGGAGCCCCCCCCGCCGGCGGGGGCTTTTCATGAGCGCCCTTCCAAACCAACCAACTTTCGCAAGTTGTACGAGAGCAGGGACATCCCGATCCAAATGGAGTATCACCCCAGAGGCAACACTATCCGATGGAAGGTAGGAAGAAGGAACATATCTATTTAATGTACAATCATACACAACTGTTTGGTTCTCGTTTTTCTTGTACACAAGCGATTGTTTGAATCCACCCTTGGTGTCAAGCAGCTTTGCTGATTTTTCAGAGTCAATAGGCTGTGATATGCTCTGCAAACACCATTTATCGTCATCATTATCAGCTCAACTGAAGGTGATGAGGAGAGTTTCTCACATAGTCACAGATCCTATGTGGGCTGTTATCCTGTAGGAGGCAGTGTAGTTTGCTCACTTCTAGCCTCCACCTGTATCACAGCACACAAACAGACTCATTTTACATGCATTTTTGTGTACTCTCCTTCTCCTGTGTGTGTGTGTGTGTGTGTGTTTGTTTCAATGCACGAGCCTTCACAGATGCATTAGACTGCTGACTGGCACGGTGTGTGTGGGTCGGCTGTATTCTTCTAATCACCATGTTGCTTTATTTTTGCCCCCACTATGCTGTTAGCCACATCATAACTTGACAACCAATTCTTAATGACATTTATTCATAGTAAGCAACGATGAAATAATCAAACAAATTACACCCTTCTCCTCCCTTTTATCCTACTTCAAAGAGAGAAGGAAAGGTAAGTGGGCTCGGATTCTTGCCAGAGAGCTGTCTGTCTTCAGGTGAAAACGCTGTAAAAAGCTCTCTTTGTATGAATTATTTATGTAAAATGTTTAAATGAATCTTTGCACCAAAAATAATGGATTTCCTTTGTGCTCTGCCCGGGAAAAAGCACTCAGCAAATGGGATGTGGTGTATGGAACTGTCTCTCATCTCCAACGCAGCTTTTATGCTTATTGATTTCCCCCCAATGCCTTCACACGTGATAGTCATTTTTAAAGTATGCCTACAAAATAAGAGTTCAATGCCTCTTTAATTTTCCACTTATACTGAGAACAACTTTTTTCATGAAACACCTTCGGTTTCAGTCGAGGAGATTTACATTTTTGCATGTAAGTTACGCCAAAGTGGCACTTGGGCTGCACGTTACGTGGGTTTAAATCTGCGTGCAGTGTAGCCGCGATCGCCGTAAGTGGTGAGGGGCTGCGGCTGTGTTTGCACTGAGCTGCCCCCGGGGCTCAGGTTCAAGACTGCAGCTACGGATCAATCCCGGTCTGAGAGCTCAGCCCCCCGAGCAAATACAAAGTCAGAGGAAACTAAGAAAGGGAGTCTTTCGCAAAGCAAAACAAAATGGTGAGTTGATTTTAGTTTGTGGGCTGAGCACTCAAGCAAACAGAGTGTGTGTGTGTGTGTGTGTGTGTGTGTGTGTGTGTGTGTGTGTGTGTGTGTGTGTGTGTATGTTTGAATGTTGGTATTGATGGATCTGTGAATTGAGGTCAGAAGTTCAACCTTCCCTCCAAAGATGCCGTCTGTGCATGTTTCACATTGCAAAGCAGCAAAGAGCCAATGTGACCGTGAAATACACAAACAGGCCTGATTGAATGTGATAACTGTGCGCTGTTGAGTACTAACACACTGATTAGACTTTGGCCATTGCAGGTAAACAAAATGAATGAAATCACTGATTATCTGCGTGTGGTATGTTACTCTCAGAAAACGAATTCTTTGATTGCTCGAATACGTTAGATGCTATACGCGATACTTTTCATTCATCGTGCAAAAACAAGGCAAAGTATGTTTTGAGTTACATAAACCTATTCATTGCCTGCGCCCGCTAACACCCGAAGAATACATCTCGACCTCTTCGGCTCGCAAAGTGCTTTTCGTAAGGGCTGCTCCAATAAACCTCCGTGGCATTTAACGCTGGCCGGGCGGTGAAGAATTGGCTTATGTGAGCAGTCTTTCGAATATCTCGCATGAAACTGGAGAGTGTGTTGTTGACTCTCGAAACTCTCCCAAAATGATTTGTGCAGCCGTTTCCATATTTTATAGTTCAAAAATACCCTGTGTTTGGAAACAGCGTTGGCGAAAACAGTCTCATTATAGTTGTTTTGTTCCGTAAAGGCAATTAACGCGCGGTTCACATGTACCGATCAGGACGGATCACGGATCAACCGGCGTATGTGCCTGCTGGTGTGTGTGTGTGTGTTTCTATAGTGTGTGTTTGAGTCTGTATATGTAGCGATAATATGCAAGCAAACTAAAAAGGAAGGGTTAGTAGAAAAAAAAAATCTCTGTGGCTCTGCGGAGGTAAAAAAGCCTCAACCGTAATGACGCGGCAGGTAAAAGCCTTACAACGTATGAACAACATGTGCGGCAGAGAGATAAGAGAGAGAGACGAGTTAGTTCCTATCCATGTGTGTTTGTGTGCACAAGGTTGTGTATTTTTGTGCGTGTATTTGGGCCCTGCCATGACGTAGAGGCCGAAGGCCTGAAACAGCACACACACACACACACACACACACTCACACTCACACTCACACACAGAGGGACTCAGCAATCAGGAGACATGGCAGCCGCTTGGCTCTCACTTATAATGGATGAGTTGCGGTCTTTCCTGTGCTCCCTGTGGGGCTTGGTTCGACCCCTCCCATCTCTACCCTCTGCTGTTCACCACAGGCTTACAGCCAAACATGGTGCACAGATGCACAACCTTCACATGTATTACAAACCTCCTAAACAGACTTGTTTATTTCCTTTCATTGATCGCCTGTGCTTTATCTTGTCCCTTGATCTGCTGTTCGGCTCTTTGTTTTCTGCACACTCCAGGTTGTTGTTTTGTCCTCTTTATAAATCCTGCCTGTCTGTTTTTGGAGCCCCCCCACCCTCCCCCTCCCTACCACGTCCCCAGATGCCCCCACCCCCCCCCCCCCCCCTCTCCTCTCCTGGCTCGTGTACTTTATCTATTCCCCTTTGTCCTTTTACAGCGTCTGTCTGGGGGCAAAACGGAAAAGCCATTTCATAAAAATATCAATGCAAACCTGATTTCATCCCACTGTCCCCCACCACAGCAACCTCAGTCTTGCAGAAGGGGCGCAGATACGGGGGCGGGGGGGGCACAATCAATTAATCTGATCAAGTGCTTTAGGAAATGGAGAGCGTAAGCGCTCCTAGGGGACGGATATCCATCTCCTTGGGATGATTGAATTACGCACCGAGTGAGAGTTGGAGAGGAGGGGGGGGGAGTGCGAGGAGGAGGGGGGCTGGAGAAATGAGGTGGTAAGGGTGACCGAGGATGAGGAAGCTTGTGCTTGAGAAAGGCAGTGGGAGTGTGTGCTCGATGCGAGAGGGTGAAAGATGGGGACTCCGAAAATGGAATGGATCGAGCGCCAGAGCAGAAGAGTGGGGTGACAGAGAGACGGGGTCATTGCAGATACAGCAACGGGGCCTTATGTCTCCCCCTGCCAACCATTTACATGTGTCATAGCATGCCGCTGATAACCCCTTCTTTTGACAGCTACATTACATTGGTACATCATTTTGCTCCGTCAATTCACAGCTGAGTGCTGCTCTTGACAAATTTGTCATTTATTTAACAGTAACGTGTCTCACAGTGCAGAATACATATGGACCAGAAATATGGAGGACAAAATCTAAATGTAATTTGTTGTAGTATCACAGACCCCCGGTGTAGCATTCTGCTAACATTAACCTCCCGAAGCCCATCCAGGAACAGGCAGTGTAGCCAGCCAAAGGTGCAGCAGCATAATGCTTCAGCAACAGCTGTTTAGTGGAAATGCCTCAGTGAGCGAGCGCTTCCATTTATACTTGCAAGCCGCAGAATATGGTGCAAGACATCGCTTGAGCACTGCTCCTTTCCAATGCCACACACTCCTGCAGGAAAATTACCTTCTCTTCTACTTTCTGTTGGATGCATACCGAACCCTCTCCTCTACTCTATGTGAATGATTTCTTATCTGCTGTGAGCACTAGAGCTTTGTCGGGGAACCTTTGAATAGACAGAATAAAATGGGGTTAACCATGCGTTTTCTCCAGCTCCCTGGCTGAAAGCTGGATACTCTGGGGGAATAGCTCTGTGTCATAAGGAAAGAGATGAAACACAATAAGAGGAAAGAATATGAACAAGACCCCCCCAGGGCTTTCACTGAGAGGAGAGAGAAGAGAGAAGGAGGGAGTTTAGATTAGAGAAGTGGAAAAAGCACCAGGCATTCTCTCTGACAAAAAAAAAGAAAAAAGAGATGGAGGAGGAGTAGAGGAAGGAAAAGGCCGCCAACAAACAACACTGGCTAACCATCAAGGCCTGTACGGGCTGCCTCCCTGGAGGGAGAGAATTGCAAAGCGACTGCCAGGAGGCAACTCGATGAGCAGCGCCGCTGTCACGCTGCTGGTGTGACTGCAGGAACGGAGGTGCTGCTGCAGCAGAGGTGTCCAACGCAGAGCGCGCACATGCAGATTTTGAACCGCTGCACCGCCTGCCGCCCACAGCCATCTTTCAAACGCCGACCAACGGCACACGGAGATGATGATGGTTGTTTTAGCCCGTGGGCTCTTCTTCTCTTGCTGTGGAAAGAGACGATAGGCAAAGGATTCGATTTTGCTGAGAGAATACGAGCATCAAAGCGGTTTATTATTTCTTAAATCCTGTCTACAGGGTCAGGAACGTGACACTGCGCCTAAAGGGGCTCAGCCGTGTATCCTACTTAATTCTGTGTTTTTTCATGATCTCCATTTCCAGCAATAGTGACCTTTTATCTGTAAAGCTTCCGCACACACCGCCATTAACTGGCATTTCATTTTCTTCTCCTCTCACAGCTCATGGCGACACTTTAGATATGAGAAAAAAAATCGGCTTCTCTTTCTCGGTAGTGATCTTTGGAACGGAGCCTCTCAGAATGACACCCTCTGTGACGTCCTCTCCCGGTCCCGGAGCTCACATCATCCCTCTGGACACCCTGTTGATCTCAGCTCCACTGCTGCTCACCAAAGCCTCCGGCTTCCTCCAGCCACGGCTGCAAAACCCCTACACACAGCTGGAAGACGATTACTTAAACAACTGCACGCAGTCTCTCACAGGTTGACACGGGACTGTGACTCCTTGTTCGGCAGATGGCAA